TGCCAGAGAACTAGCGTTACATATAACGTAGCAAAGTAACTCGGCGTGTCTGCAGTTAGCACAGAAACATCCGGTTGGCCGTAGTATGCTGTCTGCAAGGAAGTAAAAACCCTCAACAAGTGTCTACAGGCATAATACGTGCAGCAAAGAATGCTTGGTTGTCCATGCATGTAAGGTTGCCTTCCATCCTCAGTTGCAGCAATCTGCAACCCACTTTAGGTCGCCTCCTTCCCCGCAACTGCGGGCCCTCAGCCGCCGTGCCCAGGATGCCTGGAGACACGGTAGTGAGCTAAGCTGCGTTCAGCGAGCTCATCCCTTAAGTTTTTTGACTTTACTGCAATTCGCTACGGCTGTCGAAAAAGGCCGAGGACTCTCGTTACAAGCATGGCCTGTGTGGAATTGGTATATGTATGCACCGTCGCATAGCTCGAGATTGCAGACGTATAAAATAGCAGAGACACTCGAGAATCTAGGCTTCCACTCCGCCGCCAGGGGCAAAATCAACAGCGAAGAGCCAAGGCCCCCCCCGCAACGTGCGGCGCAATGACGGGGACGAATGCCGTGACGCCAACACCCACAGATCCACCTCAAATGAACTCTGTGCTTATTGGATTCTTAATACCGGTCATTCTTTGCTAGTACTGCTTGACGCGGGACACGAAGTGGATCTGATATCTGATGCTATGGCGATTCTGTGCAATTTATCCGTTTATTCGTTGGCACAGCCAATACGAGTACCCTTTGCATATGTGAGGCTTTTTTAACAGCAGAAATCATCAGCATGGCCTGATTTTATTCCCTCAGCATAAAGGGTTTATAATACAGCCATGTACTCTCGGAACCGGTGGTCTATGCCTAGATAGCTTCTGGCCCGCCGTCGGATCTGGCTGCTGGAAGCCATCTCCGAAATCCCGCGTTCGCTGGTTTCCTTACACAGCTTCCAGTAGCGCAGGGAAATTTCTGAAGAAATCACAAAAAAGGACAGGCAGGAGCCTAGGACAAACGACGTTCAGCAGTCGCTTTCAGCCAGGGCGAGTTGGTTCTAGTGAAGCCGCGCGTCCTCCGAAATGCGCAGGGCGGCGAGCACCCAAAGACGTGCGTTGGGTACGAGTATTTATTGATTCTCGAGTTAATACGCTGGCCTCTATCGATAACTTCCAGCAAAAGTGGAGATGCCACGAAACTGTCAACAAGTTTGGCCATCGGAAACATCAACCATCAAAATTCTCGTGCACTATGCAGACAAAACAGGAAAGATGCCTGCAGAAATGGAACGGCAGCTAGAGGAAACGACGATCCTGGACACCTGTATTACAATCGCAAGGGCCAAAGAAAACGAGAATATTGCGCAAAAACGCCAGGAGACCGGTAGATACAGTGGGTTTCGGAGGAACAACAGCGCAGAGAAATGACACAGGAATATTTGCAGGCCGTCCTTTGATTATACGGCTATGGCAGCACACACGGGCATGAGCAGCGCAGCTCAAAATTTGGTTGTGACCCATAAGGAAGTTACAGCTGCTGTGTCCTGACGGAGAACTTGCTCGTTCCTCTATCTGAACTTTATTTCAGGGCTGCTTCCTTGTATGTACGCCGTCTCCAGTTCGTCTCCTTTCATGTATACCGCGCTTGGCGCCGCCGCCGACTGCAGTTTCAATTTCTCCATTTTGGGTTTGGTCCCTACACTGTAGGGCTGGGTCGACCCCTGTTCACTTGACTAAGGCAGGCGCGACGCGGAGACAGCTCAGCGTCTACTTACTCTGGACCAGGATGCCTGCCGACTCTCAACCCGATTAAGTGGCCTGGAGGCGCTCACGAGTAGATCTACGAGGCAGCAGCTGCAACTCGACGGCACATCCGCATCTCTTGATGCTGTTTGCCACTTTCCTTTCTTATTCTTCACCTTTTCTGTACTATCATCGATAGAGCCCGTGGGGGTGCCCGCCGTAGGAGGGACTGAAAGGGGAGGATATGTAGCTTGCACGCACTCCAGTTCCTGTGTGAAGCTGGCGTGCGTGAAAGCTAGCCGCTGGGGTCCAACTAAGCGCCTAACAATTGTCTGCAGTGTAAGCTCGTGTAGCAATATGGCTTGGTTGTGCATGCACGTGGGGTTACCATGTAGCAAATGTTGCAGCAGTGTCCGTTACAACTTGTGTCCGGCGGTCTCCTCTCCCCCGTTCGCAGGAACTTGCGCCGCCGGTCGCACGTTGCGTGGTGACTGGAGAGGAGGCCAGCTACATTAGTGGAATTCTTACATTGAGTATTTCAACCCTGCTACAGCTCCGAGTTGTCCTCGGTATGGACAGAGGATTCACGGTAAACCTTCGGAGTATTTGAATCCGAGCAACGGAAGTAATAACTCCATAAGAAATAGATATTCGTCCCTCCTGTCCAGATGTCATTAAAAGAGTTGCGCAGCGGCCTAAGGCTGGTATGGAGAGTAGGTGCCTCTACTCAGTCGCCGCAGAAAGTGGAAAACGCAGAACGTTGGTCACCGTTCCCTTCGGTTACTGTCCCTAGCGCTACGTGCAAGCACCGCCCAGCCCTCTTTCGAATCATCCATCATTTCTCTGGAGAATTCTTAAGTATGTAGTCGGCAAAAATACTCGCAAAGATCGCTACACCCTCCAACTCTCACTTCAGGTGCCCTGCAACAAAGCAGCTACCACGGGTCCCGAGTCTGAAACCGAAACTATGCCTCAGCTGGGTCAAAACCAATCAGTAGAAGAACTGTAGACAATCTTTGCTGAAGTTTACGCTGCCTTTGTACAGTTTACACTAGCGT